CACACAAAACTAATGCTCTGAAACAGACATAGCTTTCATTAAGAGAATCAAAACAGGGATGCTGTATTGAATGCAACTGAACAGTGCATATTCACATCAAAAATATAAATATTAATAAAACAAAAAAACAGGTTCTCTAAATAATTACTATGCTACACCTTCTCCCTAGCTGTGTATGAAAATAAGTCCCAGAACTACTGTGTGTAGTCATAGCTCTAGATTTTGGAAATAAGCGCTGAATGTCAGTTAAAAACCTTGAAGCAGCAGAACTCCCACCCCTTTTCTCATGCACTTAGTCATCACAGAGCACACCAAGATACATGTCACCACCTCCACCATCTTAACATTCAGACCAGATTGTCAAACAAAGCCAGGCAGAGATGTACTGTGCTCCTCCAAACCATTCAGATTAACATAGTCGAGGGATGTGTCAAACCCAGGCATACGATCCTCTCCATTGCACAAGCAGAACCATTCGTACAGTCACTTAATGAAAACAGGGAGCTCAGCTCACCCAAAGATGATACACCATTACTAGACCCTGCACTTTCAGATCTGGAGAGGAGGTGAAAGGAGGTGAAACTGATTACGTACCTCTAGGGGGTTTCTGGTGAACCTTCACAAAATCTGCACCACATAAGTGATTGAGTTTCTCCTTGGTTCCATCATTATATAGCTGAATTAGCACCTCCTTTGGAAAGTAAGGCTCCATTTCTGATAGTTTCAGGGCTCCTATTCCATTAGCACAGTCAATCTTCAGGTGCTTCTGACTCTCTCCAGAGCTGGAAGACTTAGCACAAGGGAAGAAGGGGCAAAGTGAATTCATACCCTAGTGAAACCACAACTAGAGGCATGCTGCATTCAAAACTTCAGATCCAGACAGGATAACAGACAGAAGATACTGATTTTGAACATCTGCATGAAGAAGACAACACCCAGTACTCACCTGTTTTATCAGTTCTGTAAAAGCTTTGGATAGTTTTTCATAGTAACCTTCCACCGTTGCTTTCCCATACTGCCCTTGAGTGTTTTGACAGCAGACCATGTAATGTAGCTGTGGTGTTGTCACCAGACCATAATCTAGCATAAAGGCACAATATTCAGAAATAGCATACTAAATTAATTGCTCCTTAAAAGTTGCACAGTATTTGCTATTCTCAATAAACAGACAAATGCAGTGCAGGAAAACCATATGAAAGTTTTCAGGTTCTGTTAGGACAAAATAACTCCCCCCCACTCTTTGCATTAAAGCCATACAACTGCCCTGAAAGAAGATCATTACTAGCAAAAATGGAAACGACATCTGGGCTACTGGTTTAGGTCTGCATAACAGAGTCACATTTACATAAAATTTACATCAGATTAGAACTGCAAAAGCTTAACATACCATGGTACTGACCACCTAGAACAAAGATACCATCTATGACCGACTGTGAAAGTTTCTCGCTGCTTGGCCTGGAAAACAACAAACAGAACTGTTAACCTCTGCAGGAGACACTGATGTATGAACTTGGGGAAGAAGCACATGTGGAAGAAGACTCTACAAGCTTCCTGCCACTAGACTTAGATTTAATATGAAGAACTCTATACTTTTACCTATTGTAGGCACCTGCCAATATAGAAGCCTGAAAGCCACCACCCCAGAAAATTACAAAGGCAAGTAAACTGCTGAATAGATGTGGATGTTGCACTGTACCCATCAAAAATAACCCAAACCCACACTAAATCATCCTGTCCAGAAACATTGCTAGGTCATAACTATTAGGGAAGCTGATACAGGAACAGCATTGGAAAACTTTTTTCTATTTGCTATAATCATAAATTAACATGTAGCAGAGTAAGCATAAAGAAAAAAAAGTAGCATAATCTGGCTGCAGAGGGCTGAACATTCAAAAGCACCAATGAACAAAACGTCGGCACTCCCATAAAACCAGCATACCTCCACAGCATTTTGAATTACCTGGTATCTCTACCAATAAAAACTGAAGCATCCTTGTGCTGGTTCACTGCTGCTTTTTGGCAGATCGTAATTATTGTTTGTTGTAATTCGTGCTCCTCTGCATTTGCTAGCTGTGTGGCATACTCTTCCCAGGAAGGGTGCAGCATTTCTCCAAGAGGATCAACCAGCTTTACACCATTATCTTCCTTAGAAGAAAACAGAACAAAAGATAGTAAGCTTAGAAGGGAGAAACTTGATAAAATCTCTCTGAAGACAGCCGGCACGTGATTCCATCATATTGCTGCTTTAAATGGGGAGCACTTCTGGGAACCAATAGCTTAGCTGTCTACTTAAACCTCCTTCAAGCCCCCCAGAGTAACATAACCAGCACATTATACTTAATATACCAACTTTCTCCTCCTTATAATTTTGGTATGAAATTGATCTGAGATAGAGATTATAATAACCTCAAATGCTCCACAGCAGCAGCAGAAATCTAAATGTCTGATTTGTAACTGCTACATCTCTTTATTTTTTAAACTTGCAGATTGTGCTCAAAGGTTCATCTCTTCTCAAGGGTACTCTGCTACTTTTCAGTCTCATGGTCTGCCAGTGAGGAGGAGCACAGGAAGCCAGGAGGAAGCAGACGCAGGACACCTGACCCAAACTAGCCTAAGGGGTATTCCATACCACAGCATGTCATGCCCAGTATACAAACTGGGGGGAGCTACCCAGAAGGCTCAGATCGCTGCTTGGGTCAGGCTGGGTATTGGTCAGTGGGTGGTGAGCAATTGTACTGTACACCACTTGTGTTTATTGTTTGTTTTCCTTACACTTTTAGTTTCAGATTCTCTCCCCTTGTTATTTTGCTTAGTAGTAGTACTACTTTAGTTATTAAACTGATAGTAGTAGTTAGTACTTTAGTTATTAAACTGATCTTATCTCAATCTCTGGAGTTTACATTCTTTCAATTCTCCTCCCCATCCCACAAAGATGAGAGAGGGGGGTAGGAGCAAACAGCTGCATGGTGCTGTGTTACCGGCTGGGTCTAAACCACAACCATAGGTACAGGGAAAAGTAACTTCAAACATGCTGGAGATGATATTTACAGGGAGCAGGCCAAGCATATGCTTTAAGTGGGTCCAAGTGTCTTCAGGATCTGGTCTCCTGGTACCACGAAGAACTTTGACTTCACCAGATTGATTACATCTACCTTCTTTTCAAAGGAAAAGTTGTTCTTACTTCAGGATTGTGAGATGCTGTAACCATGATGCCAATAGTAGATGCCACAGCTTTGGACCTGAGAACTGCCAGCAAACCCATGCGGAACATTACGTGATCAAGCTGTTCGGCCTTGGTGCGAAATCCAGCAGTGCCATACTGCAGTGTAAGTCCAGCAGGTTTAGGATGTAATGATGCGTATTTTTTAAGGGCTTCACAATCCATTTCTAGAGAAGGAAGTAACACAGATGCAAATGAGTGAAGACATTGTACTTACTTAGTTTCACATTCTGCAATTTATTTTATTTTAAAGCCCATAGGTATCTTAAACCATTCGCATCATAGAATGGTTTGGGGTGGAAGGGACCTCAAAGACGATGTAGTTCTAACCCCCCTACCACGGGCAGGGACACCTTCCACTAGACCAGATTGCCCTTAGCCCAGTCCAACCTGGCCTTGAACACTTCCAGGGATGGGGCAGCCACAGCTTCTCTGGGCAAAGAATTTCTTCCTAATGTCCAATCTGAATCTACCCTCCTTCATTTTAAAGCCATTGCCCCTTGTCCTATCAAATCTCTTGGTGGAACTGAAAGGGGAACCACTACCAACCCAATCCTTGAAGGAGCCTCTACATTCCCAGTGCAGCACTAGATAAACACAGCTTCACCAGATCACGAAGGGATGATGTGATTTAGGTGAGGAGAGCCACAATTTCCAATTGGCTGGATCCGGGAATCCTAATAAACCTATTGCAAAGGGCTGGCCATTTCTCCCTGTAACATGCCCCCTCGGTGCACCTGGTCATATAGTAATTAACTTCTGAGTACCGAAGCAGCCTGTCCTCCCTTAGGGAACCCCCCAACACTGATGTTTTACCAGCATCGCAGCTCTGCTAAGGTAACTCTGTACCAACCCACCCCGCCAACACTACAGCCTTCACCCCGCCCCAGCCACCTGAGACCGGGGAGAGCGAGCCAGCCAGCCACAGGCCACCATAACCACACAAACAGCTCCAGCAGCCACCTCCCTGCACGGCTGCGGGCTTCGGGGAGCACCCAGCACCGCCACCCGGGCCCAAGGGGACCGGATCCCCCTCCTCCGCCGTCTCACCGAGAGCCGCTCTCCCCCCAGGTCCTACCGCCACTGCCGCTCTCCCCTTCCAGTCAGCCTGGTCACGCCCCCAAGCCTCGGCCAGCCAATGGCAGCGCGCAGGGCGGGCACGGTACTCGTACGTGGCACTTGGGTCACGGCCGCTCGCCAGCCTGCGGCGGAGGCGGAGGTCGGGAAGGTGGGACGGGGCGTGTTGTCAGGTTCCCGCGTTCCCCGGTACAGCCGTTCCGGAGAGCTGTAAACGTTAACTGCAAACCCGCCGTTAACGTCAGGACTGGGCGTTTTCGTCTTTAACAGATCAAAACTCCCCGTGACACCGGGCCTCGTCGGGGCAGGACCGGCCCCTCTCCGCTGACTGCGCATGCGCGCCGCGTCTGTGGCGCTGAGGTGGCGGCACCAAGCTGAAAGGTTTATGGCACTTCGTCCCCTCAGCGTCTGCCACCAGGAAGGCGGCAGCAGGAGGAGCCTGCTTCCCTTCGCTTCCCTTCTCTCGCTTCTGCTCCCGGTAGCGGCTGTGCTGTACCGTGGCGTGTTGAAACGCGCGGCGTAGGTGAGGCATCTCCATCTTGGTTGTGGAACATGCCTGTAAGGGACTAACTCTAAGCACTTTTTAGCTATTTAACCGTCCTCTGTCCTTAAGTGACGGGGTTGACCAGCAAAGGCCGGCTTGTTGGGTTGCGTGGTGTGGTGCTGAACTTAACTGTGTGTTAAATCCCTCTTGTTCCAGGTGTGTGTGGAGAGCAGCGTAATGGCTGTCACAGTAAGAGTTGTCTGGAACTCAAGCTGATAGAACTGGAAATGCTCCTTTCAATGTTTCCCAAAAAAGGGGAAGTAAATCCCAATGAGGACGCTGTCCCCAGCGTGCAGCGCTACCTGAGAAACACTGATGAAGTTCTGCCCCCGCAGCTCGAATATTCAGTCGCTATTGATGTAGGAGAGGCAAAGGTGAGAAATTCCATGTGTATGTGTCCATGTGTGTTGGATTTTCACTCCTTGTGCACATACTTACTTAAACTCTGCCCTAAAAAAAAAAAAGCGCCACCTAATTTCTGTTTGTTGCTTCAGAAGTCAGGAGTAACAAAAAAAAAAAAGTATTGTTTTTTATCATTTATTTGAGTCCGAACTTCCTTTGAGCAAGAAAGGCTGATAGAATCACAGATAGGAATAGACAACCAGCACCAGTGGTATGCGCAGCATTCACAAGCATTTAACTAGGGTTGTGCTTATATCAGGGTTGTTGGTTTACTGGTTTACAAAGAATTGTGTGTTACAAAGGCAATGCTGCCCCTGTAGGAATACGTATGTTGGACTTTATATTATCCTAGGAAAGCTGCCCAGTAGTTCTCTCTTTGACCCCTTGCCAAGTGTACCGAAATTCACTGATCTGTATCTGAAATATGGTAAAGTTAAAAATAGCCCCAAATGGCAGAATACTATTAAGAAGATTCACACACTCAAACAAAGCCAGCCTATGAATAGGGAAACAAAACTTACTGCATAAAGGAGTTCCAGTAATTTATCTGCTTCAAGAAAAGGTCATATATGACAATGAAGTGATGCAAATACTTGCGTAGAGAACTTAAGTCTGAGTGCATAATGCTGCAGTAACTGGAAATTGAGAAGAAACAAACACAATCTAGAAGCCATTTTTCTCAGAGTAAGGACAACTAAACATTAGAACAATTTACTGGGTAATGACGCAACCTCATGATTATTTGGAAACTGAAGTACAAGCTTAGGTCTCTTGAAAACACACCCTTTTACTGGCCTTCAGAGAGAGGTTTTATAAACTGTGCAGGGAGGGCTTGTGCAGGAAGAAATTTTTTTCCATGGCAGGTTGTCAAGGAACTTGGAAAGGTAATTGGTCATTCCATGATTCACTTCTCTCTCTGCAGGACTAATCATATGATGTATACTGTAGTGAAGGTCCCCTAATGGTAGTACACAGGTGCCCCAAGCACTGAGGACTTGTAAATCCTCTCCTGCTCTTGACCTAGAGGCAGGGCTTGGTTGCCAAAGAACTGAGGTGCTCCATTTTAAGGCACTGTAGGAATATCAAGAGAAATTCAACAGCCCAGGGTTTGTAGGAGATTATTTTACCCAATCTAGAGGTTTCCCTGGCCTAAAATGCATGTAGATCTTCTTATCCCCTATAATCCTGAGAATGCTTCCTCTGTTAGGATGAATACTTGCTTAAAATAATGGTAATAATACATGGAATCATAGAATGGTTTGGGTTGGAAAGGATTTTAAAGCTCATCTAATTCCAAGCCCCTTGCCATGTGCCTCTAATCATAAACACTCTCCCATATAACTCTTGGCCTTGTTTTCCTGGTGTAGATCCCGGGAGTTGTCTGAGTTTGTTGGGCAGCTGTGCATTTGGTAAGGGACAAGGTTCTCAGAAGCCACTTGCCCCTTGACTGACAGACTTGTCGTTTATTGCTGTAGCAGCACCGAGCACATCCTGAGTACATGCACTAGAAATATCCCTAGAAGGTAAGTGTGTGCCTTCTTTCTAGCAGTACCTCTAAACAGCAGAAGAGAGCAGCCTTGATATCATTAGGTACATTGGGAAAGTCACAGCATGGTGCAATAAAAGGAGCAGACAAAAAATACATTATGGGGACAGAAGGAAAGTGGAAATAATTCCAGTCATAAGGATACTGCAATCTTAATTACATTTCCTTGTAACCTGCTTTTGACAGGGACAAAGAATCTAACAGGGCTTTCAGTAGCTGCAGAATTAATTTTCCTTTTGTGCGTGTGTTCTGGTTTTTAAGGGAAAAGTGGAACTGCAGGTACTGCTGCCTTGTACGTACCCCCATGTAGCTCCTCAGCTTTTCACAAGATCAGATGCGCTGCACAGACAGCAACAGCTGGAAATCAACACTCATCTCGCTTCTCACATGAGCTCTTTGGATTCAGGTGAGCTGTGTGTATATGTGAAGCTGTGCAGTGGCTGAAAGACAACAGCCTGCCTTACTGGGAAAACAGCAAGATCTCTTCTAAAAGTGCCTCAGAAAAAGTGGCAGTTAAAGAAAAGTTGTGTCTATGTGGATCTACAGCCATCATATATATAGGCAGGAACTGAGGAAAAAGATTTTTGACTGTGCAAAGAAATTAAATCTGACTGGCTTCTGCCTGACAGGGAAACCTGGTGTCATCTGTGTGGAGGGACTGTGAGAACACTGTAAAGAGTTCTGGCGGGTTATTAGGTATCCCAACTGGAAGCATATTTCATGCAAGCATGTGGAGAACACAGAAACAGAGGGAAGCATCAACGATCTTCGGCTCTTTCGTGCTTTCGAAGACCTGCAGTTTCAGGCACATGGTGATTATGTCCTGAGGAATGACTACCACATAGATCTTGGCCAGATCCTAGAATTCCTGAAACAGCATCAAAGTGGACACATTTTTCACATCTTATTTGATGTGATGTTGAAGGCAAACTTTCAGACAAGAGAAACTTTGGAAGGAATTCTAATTTTGGACAGCAAAAGATTACTCTAACATTGAAATACTGTGCCTTACAGCTACCGTGAAAAGGGAAACAGTTTAACATACAAAAAGAATAGTCAAATAGTTCATTTTAGCTTCTCTTCAGATTTGCCCCGTATCTCTGAGAGGTGTTTGCTTATTTTCTGTGACCCTAGAATTGGCATTTGTCACTATGAGCCATACCCCAAAGTGCTTGCAAGGTGATAAACATTCCACACTGTATCCTTAATTTACACGCTGCTGTCTTGTCATATCTGCTGTGTGTTATTAAGTTGCAGTGCAGACCTGTAGTTAACTTCTGCATACAGTTGTGGGATACCAAAGTGCCTGCAGTCACAGCTGAGCGTGGTTGCCAATATAAAAGCACACACAGCTCAAGGAAATCTCACTGCTGCATTCATGGGTTAGTGTCTTTTGCTGCTTCACAAAGCATCTGCTCTCACTTCATTCAGCTAATCCATGAAATGCAAAGGCTTATGTCCAAGCACGGGAACAAGTTTTACTTTTTAAATAAAGGGTGGGGGGAAGGAGGAAGAAGCCCATGTCACCCCATTCCTTGTACACTTTAGGTAGTACCTATGTAGTTATATTGCCAATACCAGCATTGTTGCAGTCCTCTTCCTATCATCTCATTACACGGTCTGGTTACGTTAATAGTAGTTTTTCAGCTGCCCAACTCATGGCATTTTATATTTACATTATTAGGTCAAGCACCTTTGAAAAGAAAATGTGTAAAATGAGACAAAACTTAGTGTTTCCTCTGTTTTTTCTCTATGTTACATAAGGAAATACATGTAAAATACGGAAAAATGAAAGCCCTATATATATTTTATATATTAAATAAAAATACATGTAATTTTACCCATCTTTTCTCTGTGAAATTAGTACTGAGAGAAAATTTTCCAGCAGCTTTTAACAGGAAATGATATTAACAGCTCGTTAGGCAACGCTTTCCTGAGGGATAGCATGTTGAGTGTGTGTATTTAGGTAGTGAGTTGCAATTCAGTCTTCCAATTCATAATAGATTATCATGTTTAAAGATCATCAATATAATATGTGGAAGAAGAATGGGCCTTACAGGATCACTAGTTTACTGCTTTCCACTTCGTCTTTGAGCACCATACTGTGGACATTGGTGCCAATCAATAAAAGCAGACTTACTGTTGAGCTCTAGAACTTTGGCTGTTTGACTCCAACAATCAGCCTGTTTTGACAGCAGCTATTTAAAGACTGTTTCATTACACCCAGCTGACGACTACAAAAATACCAGATAGTATTTTATTTCAACTAAAATACAAGGAAGTGTTTTAGTACTTCTCTCATAATAGCCATAGATCAAAATACAGAGGAAGGCAGTATTTCTGGTTGCTCAGAATGAAGATTAACCTACATTCCTTCACTGTGGTGAGTACCTTGTTCGTATGATCATAACTTTGGCCAAAAGCACAGTACCGAAAAAATATTTCCAATCAGGCATTTTGCAGTGTGGGAGAAGGTGCCCCTCCTCTTTGGAACTGAGGACCTGCCGGCTGAGCTGTGGCAGAGCTCAGGAGATGGACAGATGAAGTTAATTTTGTAGAAATAATCTCTAGCATGATAGCAGGAAAAGAATTCAGGTACACTTTGTTTCCAGAACTGTCCCAAGAGCACACTACATTTGTCTTGGAGTGGTAATTCTGTAACAAGCAATAATTCCTCAGAGTTTGGGGTTTTTTTTTTTAGAACACTGATGCATGAGTGCAGATTCCACATGACCAGGACTCAAAAATAATAAGCCAATTTGCATCCAGTCCTATTGGGAAGTTGCCAATTATAAACTTTTTCCTTTAAAGTAGCAAAACAAGATGGTTTAGAAACAGGCCCTATCAATGAGATTTCAACCAGAAGGAAATGAGAAAGGCAACTCTGTCATAGGTCAGAAAGTCTGTGCAGGAGGATCGTCAGACAGTTTGGAGTTCTTACTGACATCTGTGATAAAACTTTCAGGATACAACCACTTATTTCGGTAACAAGAAAAATCTCTCAAAACACAGTGTAGGATATCTCAACTAAAATAACAAAATGACCAAACATCACAAATACATTTCACAGATTAACTTTTATTTTCTGATGTGCAGTTACGGTTTCTTGATCTGAGTTTCTAACTGAATATTACAATTTAGAAAAAGTTTTCTGCATCTTAAAAAATTAGCTATTCTTAGGCTTCCTAGGCAGGGATGTTCTGGATAGTGTAGTGCTTTCTAGCTGCTGCTAGTTTGTTCATTCTTCATTCAATATTTACAGTTTCATGGCTTCTGCAGGCCAGGTGTAGGAGTCGGCCAAAAAGCTGTTGTAATCGGTACTGTAAACCTGAGAGCGGATGAAGGCTTCTAGGTCCTTGGGCTGGGGATAGGTGGAAGCAGTTTTATTCCTGTAGGCTTCTTCTGCGATCTAGAAAGATGCATTAAAATCATAATTAGTGCTGATTTATAAACTATTTGAGTACTTTTAATAGGATTTAAAAGTTGGAATTAGTTCAAAATCAAGGTAAGATTTCATCTTCCCTGGTGCTGACAGTCTCCTGTATTCACACTGAATCTAGGCTAGTATACAGTGAGAAAGACTGGGAAAAGACGATGTTTGCATTTAAGTGAATCTGACACATGCTACTTTTGAACAGATTAGGTGTCATTGCTGTTACAAGTACAGCACTCTTCCTCATCCAGTAATATATTGGCTTTTGTTGTGCAGCAGTGGATAATACATTCCACAAACACCAAGCACTGAGATACAATTTATATGTTTTCATCATCAGGTTACTGTGGTTTACCATCTTCTCCAAAGCACCGTAAGAAAAGTTTGTTCCAAGCCTCCACACTCCCTGCATATCAAAGAAGTTTATTATTCGCCACAGTTTGATAATATATTTCTTAAACGTAAACTCAGGAGAAAAAATTAGTCCTATAAAATGTGTATGTTCAGTTCTAAGATGTTTGGGGGAAATACAAGTATTTGCTTGCTTTTTCCTCCCCCAGACCATACCTAAGTGAATTCAATTGTGCATCACAAGTATAGCTGTAGCAAAAGTGAAGTTTAGAAGGAGTTGGAGCCCACTCAACACATCTAGGTAGCCTCTCACGTCCGTAGAACACTTACTAGAGAAATGTCTATCTTGAGACTGGACATTCAGCAATGAAACCAAGGAAGTTTGAAAGACTGCTTTTATGCAGCAGCACTCTTTGGAAAGATCAGCTTCAAACTGTATTTCGCAATCAGACAAATGCTCCTACTTTGAATAAAAGGAAGATGGTCTCCGTCCTGCTTGCCCTAGCTCTCTCTTTAAAACATAAATGTTTTGGCTTGGTGAGAAGCTAAGACCTCAAGTTACAGTATTTAGACTTCCCTTCTAGGATTAATCTGAAGCTCAACCTGATCTGACTGAGCAGCACTTTGGGTGTTGATGTAAGAGTTCAGGTCTGTGCACATAATTATTGTAGCTGAATACACTCTGAATTTACACCCCATGTTTGGTATTCAAAAAAATGGAGAGAGTATTCCTCCCCTGGAAGAGGCAGAGGCCATTGCTAAACCTCCTGGGCTGTATGAGCCAGAGTAGGTACTTGCAAGAATAAAGTTTCAACAAAGATCAGGGAGACAGAATTGTTTGGTAACATTTTCCTTTCTTGTATTTGCTGTAACATGCACAAGCAGAGGAGGAATTTCTGTCGCTGTGTTTCTGCCAAACACACCAGCAGTTTGATTTTGCCTGAGGAATCCAGGTAACGTTTTGACACCTACAGAACAGTTATTATTTGCCTAAGATGATGTGAACTGTGAGAAGGATTTTTGTTAAATACACCGAATGAGTGAAGCTAGGGGAACTGTTTCACACATGAGGGCTCCTCGTTGTTCTTTCCAAAGAATATGCAGTAAGTGGAATTATTCACAGCATGGTGACCAAGAGAGAAAACAGTAATTGAGAAAACAAGGTCATGGAAGAGTAGCAAAATAACCTCCTAAAATGCTGAAAAAAAAAACAAACCCCTTCCTAAAGAACAGAACAAGGGAGGAACTGGGATAAAGACATTATTTGAAAACTTCCTCTTCTCTCTGTGGGTTTAAGTCGGTTACTGAAAATCCACCTGTATCAGCTCAATATTTACCAGTAAAAAACAACCAAATGAACAACTGCTGGCCCAATCTGAGCCATAAACAAAAAGCATCCCTTGGAGTTAGTTATTTTGGTAGGCCAGAGTAAGAACGGGATAAAAAGGGAGTAGTCCCTGGACACAGGGTGACATTTTGACAGGCAACTGATCACCGCAAAGGGCCAACACCCTTAGCTGTGCACCTCACACAACTGTAAGCCTGAGGACCCACTCATAACTGGTGCATGGCTCAGTTTGGGCTCCTCAGACATAAACACTTACTATAGTTCCATATCCTTCCTTCTTGTACTTGAGTTACATTTACGTTTATGAATTTAAATTCAATTTTGAAACTGCTACTTGTCCAAGACTGATTGACGTGAACCAACTTCAACTTGTGTGGAGGTGTGTTAGCTGATCAAATCAAATGCTAAATGACGTAGAGAGTGTGGGAGAAGAGAAGCCACAACAGACTGAAATAAATGACTTACCCTTACAGCAATTTTCAGCGATACTTGCTGAATAGTGACTAACGGAGGGTACAGACGACCCTCCTGTAAATTCTCATCCGAAACTTGCTGAGCTATTACCTAGAAAAAAAAGCAGACATGTTTAACTTGAAATGCAGATGCAGCTCTGCCTCTACAAGACAGTGATCTAGTCTTAGGCAAAGAAATGGTTTTGCTTTCTCAAATCACACAGATACTGCTTAATCCACCTAGGCAGTGTGGTTTACAACCAGCCTTATCAATAGGAGTAGCTACACAAGAGCTAGAAATTTAGGGAGTTACGCGCTTTTCTCACTCAGACAGTAAGACTTATTCAAATCCAACACATCCGTTTTAAGAAGTGAAGGGTCTTGGGGCTGCCTTTGGGTCTAATGATAGTTATGCTATCATTAGCTAAAATCTGTTTGTCATTTGGAGATGTGAAATAGCAAATAGCCTTTCAAGTGATCCAGATTGGGATTCAGCTGATGCCAGTTAGCTAACCTGTCTTCTACCTTGTAATCTCATTTGTGGACTTGAAGGTTCAATATCTTAAGTGCCCATATTTGTACCTTCTAGGGAACAGCTAGTTAGAACCAAATCTAAATATCTTCTAAGCAAACTAAGCACAAAATCAATACATTAAAAATGGTCTGACTGCATGCAGTTTTTAATGGCTGCCTCCACTAACATCCTATCCTCTGCTACAATTCTCAAACTAGTAAAAAACATTAGGAGAGATTTGTATCAGCAGAATTCAAATTTCTCTACCTTGCTTTGGGACAGAAAGGAGTGACTCTGGGGAGGGGATGTCACTTGCTCTTTGAACAGCTGGGAACACGTAACAGTCACAAGGAAAGGAAGTTCTTTGTACAGTGCAAGCTCATACTTAAAGCTGTTACAGTTTATAAGCGGTTTCCATTGACATTTAGTACATTGGGCTTGCTCCTGGAGTGTGTCCTTCCATTTAGTTTAATCCAAAAGGAAACCAGTGCCCCTCTCCGCCCAGTACCATGCCACACCGTGCACACAGGTAGAGTCTATAGGGACACCAGGGAGATGTGCTCCAGGAGACCATTCTGATGCAAAACAGAAGAGTGACATAGAGGCACCCTTTGTGTTCTCATCAGTAGAAATTATATACTTTTGTGGAAATAAAACTTAGATAATAAAATATTAGAACCAAATCACTGACTGATCCAGGAGCGCAAGGATACTACTGTGTGATGTGACCTGCAAAGGG